CAACAGGACGCTCATGACTTTGTGGAGGAGATAAGAATTCTAAGCCAACAATTAGTACCTGGCAGACTTGGTAAGTGAAATAGGACAGCAAGAAAGAAGATTACCAACTTTCTCTTCCGACACCAAGAATGACTTAACACTTCTATTCAAACCTGAAATGAGTTATCAACTTCAAACACTCAAATATATACCGTACAGAAAACAATAAAAATCAAAAGGTACATATGATGTAGGAGCTTTTGCCACCATCTCTTAACACTCTGATGTTTGCAGAGGAAAGAAGATGAGCTTTGCTGTCAGCCTGAGGCTCAAACTATGTCTCACTATCTTCTCTGTAGCCCTGGGCAACAGGCTCCCCTTTCTCTTCCAGGAAAAAATGGGAATAATCCTGCCTCACAGTGCCGGGCAGATTTGAAGAGAGAACAGGGAGAGGACATGGCCCTTGCCCAGCACACTAAAGACGCTCCATAAATGCTGTTTCCCATTCTGGGATAGCCATCAGCACAGCTTTGGGACCATGAAGCTGGTGCAGAGTGGGCAGCAGCCCCGTACTGGGCTCTACAGGCTGAGTGACCTTGGGGAGGATAAGCAAGAGGACTTGTCTTGCTCACCTGCCAGGAAGGAGTGCTGGGAGGAACAAAAAAATGAGTGTTCACAAAAGCTTGTTACAATTGGCAAAGCGCTGTAGGATTAAAAAAGAACAACCTTGCAATTATATTTGACATGCGGAACTAGAAGTATGATGTACCAAAGCCACTTTGTCTTTGTTCTGTCTGTCCTTTTCCTGGGTTTAAAAACACACACCCTTTTCTTGACTAATGCCTTACCTCTTCATTTTTCTCATTCCTCTACACAGTTAACATATTTTAATGAAAAAATCTAAGAGACAGCTTTTGCTGCAAGGCAAAAACCTCCTAAGCAGACATTATACCCAAGTTCAAGGATAAACAAGACTAATTAACAAAAAGGTGTACGGACTTACACAAACATACACTCCTCTACTCCACACCCCCAGTCACTCTGGTTACCTTCCACACCACCAGGAATACAAAAGAAACATTACATTTGGGACCACTACAGGTTAAGGTTTAAGGGTATATTTCTACAAAGTAACTTTACAGAGAGCTACAGTCACACAGTAAATAGATGTCTGTGAAGTAAAAATTTTGCTTTGAGCTGATGCACTACTCAGAGAGAAAAAAAATCACTGGTTTGATCTTTTGAAGGGTCTTTTACGTTTGGTCATCATTCAGACATTTTTCCTTCCTAGTTTCTCGGAATGAAGGTAACAGCAGGTACTGCGCCCTTACCAGCACTTACTGACTTCACATCATGCAGGCATGTTCTAAATTTAGTAGCCCACATGCACTGTGTAAGTTATTAATTTTATTAATATAAGTCACTAGATTTAATGCAGCAGGAAATGAAAGGCCTGACTTCCACGTTTTTCTCTGAATTGTTATTGGAAAGGTAAAGACCTTCCACAAATTGGTGCCTCAGGAAGTACTGTGAGAAAATAAACTCTCCCATAATTTGACCTCCACTTCTGAGGAAAAATGATTTGCTCTCCAGCTTTGCACCAGGATGGAGTTACTTCTGAGTCTTTTATAGGAAGCTCATCAACCAGGTAAAGTTCACTAATGATTAGAACAAGATGAGAGCAGTTAATACTTTCTTGAGACCCAGAATAAAGGCCACCTGGAAGAGGCGCAACTCTGCTCATGTCCTTTTTGGCCACTAACATCTTGTTGGCCTGGCTATCACTGCTTTAAACCCAGCTCTTGAAGTAAGTGTGAGCTGGAGAGTGGGACAAGGGCTTGGGCACCAAGTCCCCTCCCAGCATCTCACTGGACAGCGCAGGAGGAAGCATTCCAGCTGAAAGCCTACAGCTGATTAAGTTTTATCATTCTTAACAGGCAACAAAAATCCAGGGAATAGTCTAGAACAGGGTTGGTAACCTATGGCCCATGGGCTAAGTCCAGCCTGTCACCTGTTTCTGTAATAAGGTTTACTGGAACACAGTCATGCCTATTTGTTTACTATCTATGGCTCCTTCCACCCACAAAGCCAAAAATATTTACAATCTGGCCCTTCTCCAAAAAAGTTTGCCAATTCCAGCCTAGATCCGTACTGTCTATTACAGTAGCCACCAGACACGTGTGTCTATTTAAGTTTAAAATAACATTAAAAATTCAGTTTCTCAGTTGCACGTTTTAAGTGCTCCATGGTCTTATGTGGCCAGTGGCCACCTTAGTGGACAGCACAGAGAACATTTCCACCTCCTGGACAGTTCTGGGTAGTGTTGGAAGTACAGAATTTAAGGCATCAACCTCAATTTACAGCCATCAAATTCCAGATGACTCTCTCCTTGTACAGACAGAAAGATTTACACTATATTCAAAAAATATGTCCCTTTCACACTTGAACTTTTCAGGAAATACTAATTCACCATATTAATTACAAACACCAGACCATTTGCTAGACAGTAACTGTCAAATCGACTGGGACTACCACTCTGTGAAGTGATCACATTTACCCATTTGTTTACCTGGATGTCCCCCCATTCCCTCGTGGACTGTAAACTCTGTGAAAGCTGACCCACAGCACTTGCTCATACACCAAGGTAGGATCCTGCCTGGTATGTGGTACGTACGGATCAACAAATATTTGTGAACCCAATAAGAAATGAACCCCAGGCACAAAACTGTTATACAAAAAGAGGCCACTGAACCAAACAGATGATAGGGCATTAAGAAAAAAATATGGTAATCCTGTAGCAAAATGTTCTTCAAACAGCCAAAATTTCTATTTTAAAATGAGTTTTTTTTTTTTTTTTAAAGATTCAGCTGTCTGGGTTTGGATTCTGGCTCCACCACTTCTGGGCTGTGTGACCCCAGGTAAGCTACTTTCCCTTCTGTGCAGGTGGGAAGGACAGTGCATCTCACCCATCTGAGTGAGCCAGGCAGCCCGGGGCTGAGCCGCTCTGCATCCTTCCCCTGCCCAGCACCTGGACACCAGCGCCTGCTCTCTCCATAGCACCGTCAGGAGTTCCTGCTCTGTCCCTCCAAGTATCTGAGCTCCATGGTGGGTCTCTCCCACTGAACCACGAGCTCTTTTGTGGCAGAGGCTGTAACTTAGTAATTTTTAATGATCCTCAGCACTTGGCACACGGAAATGCTAATTGGATGTTAAACTAAGAATAAAAGCCTAGAAAATAAAATAAATTTTGCTAAATCTCACATTAACATGCTTGCTCCAAAAAGTCCTTATGAGTAAATGAAGCAGTTCTCCAAGTTTTGAAATTCAAAATTACTCCAACTGTTTGAATTAGAAGTTAATCTTAGGTCCTAAAGGTTACCCCCTCTTAAAAACTCAAGTCTCTTTCAGGTTAATACACTTCACTACTTTTTCTCTCCACAATTATACAGCAAACAACCACCCACCTAACCAACAGCAAAAAAATCTACACTGGCCATAATAAGGTCTTGAAATTAAAAAAAAAAAAAGCCAGTGTGGTTTAAGATATAAAATTAAAAGATTCTATTTCAGAATAAATTCATAATTCAAAAAATGACTAGTATATTAAGTATCTAATAAAAACCAGAAAATTCACAAACCGAAATGATTTGTTATTTATAAGATACTGTAAAAAAGTATGAAAATTTACATTTTAAAGGCAATACAATTATCTTATTACTAACTAGTTGGTGTTTAAGAACTAACTTAAATCCAAGCAATTATATTCATTCTTGCACATTTGGTTCCTGCAACTAAATTATCTAAATATCTGTAGTCAATCTTGGCTTTTTATTGGGTGTATTACAGAAACATAAATTCATGGCCTGTCCTACAATTTGTGAAAGTTGATTTCCACCAGCTTCATTAGAGACAGTTTGGAGAGAAAAGCAACACCCATTTTACTCCAACAGACTGGGTATTCATATGCTTTTATCTTCCCTGGGTACACCCTAGGATTTGAAAAATCTTGCCCAGCATTTTAGTCATAGAGGCTATTAGTCACCCAGAAATCTTGCCTCCACCCTCCCTTAACACAAGTCCTTAAAGGAGATTCTGACAGTTAAAACTGTTTTGTTAGGGCACAACTGGGATATTATAAATTTTAAAGTGATTTTATGAAGTGTAAAGTCCATTTTTTCTAGTTCACCCAATTATGGTCAAAAATTCTTATAACAAATATCTTAAAATATCACCTGAGAATAAGTATGCTACTACCTTTATACCTATAGTTTAATATATAACTACTATTAATCACTATAGTAACTGTTTTTAAGCTAAGTTTTAAACCCAAAATATGTATAAACCATAGGAGAGGCAAACTGTAATTATTAAAGTCAAATGGCAATACAGAGCCTATTTAAATGCAAAATATTTCCTAATAGTCCATGAAAAAGCCAATACTTCAAAAATTATGACCCACAATAGATTTCAATATTTCAAAGCACGAGCATGTTTCTTTTAGGCTCCACAGCAAGAATGAAAACAATCCTTTTAAAGGAAGTTCTTTTTTAATCAATTCTGCATATTTTCTGACTGCAATTCATATTTAATTCAGAGATGTGTCCCCGGTGAAACCTTTGCAGCACTAAGCAGCACAGATGTAACAGAAACTCTGCGTACACACAACTTGGCCAGGCTCAGCGGCCCGCCTCTCCTCCACCCCACCCAATGCCTTCCCCGGGCAGTGACTTCACATCCTTTGACATCAGCACAGCTTTGAAAGGGGGATGGGAGAGCGAGCAGAAAGCAGAAAAACCAGCTTTGAACTATGCATGCAAGGCCTCTCTCAAGCCTCACATTCTGTAAGTAGTTTGTAAAATGCCAAACGGCAGTGACACACCCAACCTCCTCTGGTTAAGTCTGCAGCGAAATGGAGTGAATTCTGCTGGAAAGGACTTCCTGCTTTTCTTATCTGAAGCACAATAGCCATTTATTAACTACCCACGGAAGGTTCCGATTCAGTGAAACACACAATAACTTACCTCGAATATGGAGAAGGGCCACGGGCTGGAAAGGCCCATTGGAGTTGGCCGCATCCACCACCATCCTGCTGCCCGCTTTATTACATGTCAACATCTAGACTCCAGCGGGAAAGGCAATGGACTCCTTAAGGCAAGAAACCAGCCTCCATTTTAGTTTAAAAAAAAAGACAAACTGAAGCTCTCTGCAGCTGGAGGGAACTGGCTGGTTCGTGATGTCAGCAGGCATGGAGCTCGCTGATTGGCCAGAAGCTGCAACTTAAAATGACACTAAAAAAAACTGCAAACGGAAAGAGCGTTCTGTTTGGCTGTCAGAGCGCACTAAAAGCTTGGACATTTTCCGGCTTTCTGCAGTCTTCATTTCTCAGTAACTTTTAGGCAAAGATCCCATCTCTTAGGGGACAGGACTGAGGCCATAACCTTGGCGAGACTGTAAACAAATGATTCCGAGAGAGCTTCCAAAAAAAGCATGTGCGGATATGTCTGTATGAACTTTAACTTTAGCATTTCCGTAACTGGTACCCCAAATTCAACGGTATTTTATACTCTCCGGTACATCATCTACTTTCGAGTTCTAATTACTTTAATATCTGCATCAGAGATAATATTCTGGCAACCTAGTTTTTAAATGCAAATGGCTATTCAAATATTATACAATTCCAGCTCATTAGTTTGGACTCTTGTTCAACTTCCTCTACTACTAATACGGCAAATTACGAACTTATAATACCCAAACACTGTTTTCTTTGGAGAATTTTTTTCCCAAAAAATTAAGTTTAGAAAAATGAAACATGAAACTGCTTTATATTCAGTAGTTAGTGCTACAAATGAAGGTAATTTATACCACCTGGCCATAGGAGTAAAAGAAAAAAAGGCATACAATGAAATGCAGTGTGTTTATTTTTATATCATAAAGATGTTGACATACTAGACACTTTTAAATTTTAGATATTTTGTTTAAATTTAAAATTAAAGATGTTTCACTTATTTTTATGGGGTTATTATTAAAAGCTACTCAGATCTTAATTTCCCATCATCAAAAAAGTTTAATGTAAAAAGCTGTTCTAAGGAGACCAAACATTCCTGAACTGGAGTATCATAGGGTCCCATGGGGTAGAGGGAGGTGAGATGAGTTCCTACAAAAAGAAGTATTATCAGGAGCTCCAAAAGGAAATGAACAAACTATAAGAAAAGTCTCTTTGGCAGGCAGAACTGAAAAAAATTTCTCACTTCTTCACATAAATAAGAAAGCTTGTCCAAACTATGGCCCCTCTTTTTAAATACATTTCTCATACTACCCCCACTCATTTGTCCCACTCACGAATAAGAATACAAAGCCGTTTAGTTCCTAAACAGAATTCAGAATAGTAAGAAACACCTGACACAAATGGGTTAGCAGTTACATCTGGGGCTGAGCACGCCACACATTCCAATACATGAATGACCTGCTACAACCATTCAGGGAGCTGGCTAAGTCCTCCCCTTCACTAGTAAGAATTTAGTTTTTACTGTGTGTATCAATAGCCATTGAAATATATAAATAGATAAGAGCAAAGAAAACCCCACCCCTGCCCTCCTTTTCCCTGGAGGCAAAAGACACCGCTGGATTCCATGGCTGGCCATGAGACCATTTCTAACTAAGCATGAGGAGGGGTTGCCACTACCACTCCCCATCACCTCCTAATCCAAGGAGTGATGCCAGATGACTCAGACACAATCAGGAACGAGGTGTTTGGGGGCTTGGTACGGAGATTCTTATTGCAGATCTGGGCTTTCAAGAGACATAAATGATTTAATATTTCACACGAGATGAGATGGGACTATATGCCTATCCTAAGACTATGCTGATGAGTTGGAATAGAGAGAAAGATGGAGGTTTACATATAATATACAGAACTGAAGTCAAAGAAACAGTGAAGACACTTTCTGATGTATTTTTCCTAATGATCTCAGATCAAAGGCTCTCTATTAATGATTTCCCCCATGCTCTTTTGAAACCTTATGCATATAAAGTAGTTCTTTAGAACTCCAAAAATATGATCTGGCTATCACTGATAAAGCATACTCTAAGGTATAAATAATACAGAGAAAAAAGGCAAATAAAGATAAGGTATATTTCTGAATTGGAAGTATAAATACCATAGATACGCTGATGTTAATTTTTCCCCAAATTGATTTACAGGTTTAAAGCAATTCCAATGAAAATGCAGGTGGGCCTCTTTACTTTCCTAGGTGCTTAACAAAACAATTCTAAAGTTCACCTGGAAAAATAAAAAGCAAGAAGAATGAGAACACTAATGAGAAAGGCCAGTCCTACCAACTCTAAAGCTGTAAGAATTAATGCCAGTGTGACGGGCGTAAGAGGCAGGTTAATGGAACAGAAGCCACGGCCCTCAAACCGATAAACATATTTACATAAATGTAACACTGTGATAAAGATTGAATGCCAAATCAAGGGAAAGGGAAAGAATTAGATAATTGCTTGGCAATCTTGGGGCAGACAATTGGTTAACTACATGTAGGAAAGAGCCAATTTAAGTCTTTTTACCTCACACCAAAACAAAATCTGAGATGGATCAAACAGTTAAATAAAAAAAAAAAATCAAGGTCAGGCATGGTGGCTAACACCTGTAATCCCAGCACTTTGGAAGGCTGAATCCCAGCACTTTGGAGGATCACTTGAGGCCAGGAGTTTGAGACCAGCCTGGGCAACATAGTTAGACCCCATTTCTACAAAAAAAAAATTAAGAAATTAGCCAGGCTTGGTGGTGCGCGCCTATAGTCCCAACTACTTGGGTGACTGAGGTGAGAGGATCACTTGAGCCCAGGAGCTGGAGGCAGCAGTGAGCCAAAAAAAACACAAAAAAATCCCCCAAAACCACACTTTCAAATCCCATAACCTTTAGAAGAAAAGGAACGTGAATATCAATTCTCAAGCTAAAAAAGGACATTTAAAAACCACTGAACAGGCCGGGCGCTGTGGCTCACGCCTGTAATCCTAGCTCTTGGGAGGCCGAGGCGGGCGGATTGCTCAAGGTCAGGAGTTCAAAACCAGCCTGAGCAAGAGCAAGACCCCGTCTCTACTATAAATAGAAAGAAATTAATTGGCCAACTAATATATATATAAAATTAGCCGGGCATGGTGGCACATGCCTGTAGTCCCAGCTACTCGGGAGGCTGAGGCAGAGGGATTGCTTGAGCCCAGGAGATTGAGGTTGCTGTGAGCTAGGCTGACGCCATGGCACTCACTCTAGCCTGGTCAACAAGCGAGACTCTGTCTCAAAAAAACAAACAAACAAACAAACAAACAAAAACCACTGAACAAATCCCTAAGGGATATTGCTTATATTAAAAAATTACAAATATCTGTATGTTCCCTCCAAAAAACAAGTAAAAGGAAATGTAAATACTATAAATGCAAAGAGTTAATATTACTATAATTGATTAGAAAAACACTGAGATCTCTGTTTCACAAAAGAACTATAAATGATCAATAATTGTATCAAAAAGTACTTTTTAACCTATCAGTCAACAATTTAAATTACCATTTTTTAAAACGGTATGGTAATTATGCAATACTGATACAGGTATGATGTAACCTTGCCAAAAAAATCTATAAATTGTTCTGACTCTTTCAGAAAATACTTTGGCAATATGCATCAAGATTCTTTGTCTAAGTAATTTGACTGCTGGGATCTATTCTAGAAATGCCACAAATGAGCATTACATTTCTTAAAATAATCATTTAAAAAACTGTGCTGAAACACACATAAAATTTACCATTTTAACCATTTTTAAGCATATAGTTCAGTGACATTAAGTACATTCACACTGTTGTGTAGCCATGACCACCATCCATTCACAGAACTCTTCTCATTTTGCAAAACCAAAACTTTGTACCCATTAAACAATAACTCCTCTTTTCTGCTTCCCCCTGGCCCCTGGCAACCACCATTCTACTTTCTGTTTCTATGAATTTGACTGCTCTAGATACTAATACAAGTGTAATCACTCAGTATTTGTCCTTTTGTGACTGGCTTATTTCACTCAGCATAATGCCCTCAAGGTTCATCCATGTCATAGCAAGTGTTAAAATTCACTTCCTTTTTAAGGCTGTATTCCATTGGTACATAGCACAGTTGTTTATCCATCTATCCATTGATGACACTTGGGCTGCTCCCACCTGTTGGCTATTGTGAATAATGCCGCTATGAACATAAGCGTACAAATATCTGTTCACATCCCTGCTTTCAATTCTTTTGGGTGTATAACCAGAAGTGAAATTGCTGGATCATATGGTAGTTTTGTTTTTCATTCTTTGAAGAACTTTCCCCAGTGGCTGCACCATTTTATATTCCCACCAACAGAGCACAACAATTCCAATTTCTCCACAACCTCACCAATATTTGTAATTTTTTAAAAATAGCAGCCATCCTAATGAATGTGAAGTATTTCACTGTAGTTTTGATTTTGCATTTCTCTAATGATTAGTGACATTGAACATCTTTTCATAAGCTTATCAGTCATTTGTATATATTCTTTGGAGAAATGTCCATTTAACTCCTTCACATAATTTAAAAATTAGATTTTTTGTTGCTGCAGGAGTTCTGTATATGTTTTGGATATTAACTCCTTATCCGATACACAATTTGCAAATACATTCTCCCATCCTGTGACTTGCCTTTTCACTTTGCTAATTGTCTTCTGACGCAGAGAAGTTTTAAAATTTAATGTAGTCCACTTCATACCTATTTTTACTTTTGTTGCCTGTGCTTTTGGTGTCATATCCAAGAAATCACCATCTAATCAAATGTCATGAAGCTTTTCCCGTTTTCTTCTAAGAGTTTTATAGTTTTAACTCTTTTGTTTAGATCTTTGAACCATTTTGATTTAATTTTTGTATGTGGGGTGAAGTAAGTGCCCCACTTCATTCTTTAGCATGTGGTTATCCAGTTTTCCCAACACCATTTGTTGAAAAGATTGTCTTTCCCTACTCAATGGTCTTGGCACCCTTGTCAAAAATCATTTGACCATCTATGTGATGGTTTATTTCTGGGCTCTCTATTCTATCCCATTGGTCTATATGTCTGTCTTTATACCAATGCTACACTGTCTTTATTACTGTAGTAGCTTTGTTGTAAGTTTTAAAATCAGAAAGTGTGAGTCCTCTAACTTTGGTCTTCTTTTTCAAGATTGTTTGGCTATGCTGATCCCTTGAGATTCACTGTGAATCTTAGGATGAATTTTTCCATTTCTGGAAAAAACACTGTAAAAGTTTTAATAGGGATTGCATTGAATCTGTTGATTGCTTTGGATAGTACTGACATCTTAACAATATTATGTCTTCTAATCCACAAACAAAAAATGTCTTTCCATTTTTTGGTGTCATCTTTAATTTCTTTCAGCAAAGTTTTGTAGTTTTCAGTGTACAAGTCTCTTACCTC